GGGGGGTCATTAGGAACAAGGGGTTGCCACCCCCTCCCCCTTCGACCGCACAACTTGAAAATTGAATGAATTAAAATTTCAAGTTATCGTATCTCATCTTAGTCTATTTTGATTAATTTATTTGTAGATACTAGAGGGCTACGCCCCCTGATCGCTTCGCGGGCCGACTTGCCGAAGCGCTCCGCATCTGACGTTACGCGTGACTCTCATGCTTTTATACTATATGCGGGGTGTTCCATAGCACCCGTCCTCTATCAATTCCTCGAAAACTGCCGAAAATTGAGCTTCGGGACGAAAACTTACAGGGGTAAATCAACCCCGAAGAAATCAATGAAAATATGTTTATCCTCTTAAAACCCCGTTTCGGGGGGATTTAAGGGGGGGTTGCCCCCCGTTTCGCACATATTTCAAAAAGGAAGGTTATGTTCTGAATTCTGATTAAAAGTCCATGGCCAAAAATAAGAACTTTTATGCGCTAAACCCCCATTTTTTGCAGTTACGGGCCATTTTGAGACATTTTTGGGGCAAATTTCAATGAGACACTGTAGGCGTTATAATTACCCGACTTTTGAAACCTAAAAGTCTCCTGCGAAACAAGATCAATACCTTTTTTATTGATGTGCCACATGACCCCTGTTGATCCAAAATTATGGAGGCTACGATTGTTCCTTGCCGTACCCCCAATGGCCCGGTCCATTCCAGTATATAATCTTTGCAATGAGCCTCTAGACAGGGTAAGAACTGGAGGCTCTAAGCACATGAATCTGCATCAGAATTTCGCGTAGAATTCAATGGTACAAACGGGAATTCATGAAACCAACTAATAAGCGAGATATTTGCGTAAATAGACTGCGCATTTTTGTAAATCCCGCTCGCCTAATATACGAATGACGTCACATTTGTAGCCATTAGGATTGTCGCAGCGCTGCGCAGCGCCGACTGAGCATCGGCCATCGAAAACGTCCAACGCTCCCAACGCCGGGACTGACACATATTTACCGCGAGAGCAAACCACTCAGCAAAATTTCCTTCCACCGCTCTAGGACCAGCAAACATGATCTCACCCTTCCTCTGCACGCTCCTGGCACTCACGCAAGTGACTCTTGCATTAGAGCCAGCGTCGGACCGTAAACAAACGAAAATTGATAACAGGAAGGACCCAAGCACCCAAGCAACTCGAAATCTTTTAATTTTCATTAATTACAGTCCATGTTCGACTTCAAGAAAGCATTTGACAACCATTTTCCTCGTATTTTATAACCTGGAGCCACAGCCTATCGGCTCATTGTAATGTGCACTCTGAGAATCAGTTCCACAAGTCCAAACCCTGACATTCTTTTCTTTGACCATTCTCTTTTCATTCTAGCCACAATTTAAGTGTTATGCAGTTTCTTTATCTAAAATATGTGGTCTTGAATTCATTCAGGAGTCAGAAGTTTACCTTTCTTTTAGTATTACAGCCCTTTGACCCCTCAAACTTCACCGATATGACCTCATGTAGTTCAAGGTTTCTCTGGCCCGAACCGAGTGATTACACATCTGAGGTGTGTCTCATGGTTCTTCAAATCAGCAGTTTAGAACTAAATTAGGGACTACAGTGACTCAATCCAGTTCTGCTTTCTTGTTCAATGTTTGTTATCAGTGTCTGTTCTTTTACGTGACCAATCTAGTGCATGCACTGTTACGCTATAAGTACAGGTATTATTGCTTTTTTCCTGCTGTCAGACCTTTTTCTTAAGCCTGCTGATTCACCACAGAATCTGCCCTAGTTGTGTAAATAATTTGGTGTGTAGTTATTGAGTTAATACCTCCTTGCCGTGATGCAAACTTTCTCAGATCCGTCATAAGTGGGTATTGCATTTAGACGATCACTCGGACCAGGTGAAATCACTGCTCTAGCAGCTCCAAATTTATACTTTGATCTCTGATTCACTAATAAATAACACTTTATGGTGTCATTTATATTTAATCAGTTCAAAGCTAATTCGACAATGAATCATCAATGGTCCGATCGAAAAAGGAATTTTTTGGTTGCTACGGCTGAATCGACATTACCTACAACTCAACTTTCGAAAGCATGAACCTTAAAAAAATTCATCAGGAACTGGTACTTGGTAAGTAATAATTATGTTAGCACTCTCCTATTTCTGAAGAGATGTGTGTCCTGTAAATTTCAGAATATACTCTCCTGCCATATATCTAAAGAGGAATACAACATCTCAAGTGGGTGAAGTTATAAAATTGTGGAAATTGGTCATGTAAAGGGCTTTTCTGCTCAAAGACATGACTGAACCAATCTGAAAGCTGTGAGTTACGAATGATGGAGGGTCCAAGGTGTCTTCCCTGCTTTAAAAGATAAGGAATTGTGCCTCAGGCCTTAAATGCTATTGGAAATTCCAAACATTGTGAATTCAAATGCACGCTACACTTCATCAATGAATATGGAAATTTGTCTCAGAGAAAATCTGATAAGACCATTCTGGTAGTTATTTATTCCTGGTTTCTTAATTTCAGAATTTTTGTATTCTAGTTATCATCAAATGCTAATCAACAGATATTGCACAAAACAGTTGCTAATTATTTGAGGATTCATTTCTTAATCAGTATGTTTTATGTGTTTCATGCAGCGACGAGCCTTACTGAATTTCATGAAATTAAGTGATCACACCTACTTACCTGCAACATAGTTAGATCATCCTCCAAGCGTTAAGAAAATATTTTTCCTCTCTTTTAAGAATTCAGGGCGAGTAAAACCTGCTCAACAAAAGTTTGTGTAAGATTGTTCCATTCAAAATCACCTGAGAATCATTTCAATGGTAAAGTTGCCAACGATTCCTATTGAAAGTCGTTTGGTTCACTGAATTTTTCAGGTACCGAAAGATGAAAGGATCTTGAAAAGTCATAGAATTACATCCCACCATGAAAACAAGTTGGGAAAAACAGTTCAGATTGACCAGGGATGACATTTGTAACATTTACTTCTCAAACCAATCTAATGGCCAAACATAGGTATCATTTGCAAAACGTGTAAATTACATATCCTGAATACGTTGCTCAAACTTTCTACATCCAGTTCAGATTTTCAAAGGGAAGCAAGTCAGCATATTGTTTGAATTAATTACTGAATTTTCTGCCCATGTAGAGGAAAAATATCACATTTCAGAGATTTTGTTGAATGATTTTTTAATTGAGAAATTAAGAGGAACAGGAAGTCTGAAACTTTGTGAATTTAGGTAAGTGGTTTCCCAGTTTAGCCTTGTCATTAACGTCCTCTTTTTGCCATGAATGATTATCCACAAACGTAAGCATACTCACACTAACTGTCCAACAACAGATCCGTATGTACCCTGGTGATACCTTAGTAACTTCAGATATCTTACCTTTTGAACTACTTGAATGGTTGAAAAATATTTTCACTTCAAGACGGATGGTCATGTCCTGATTGAAGCTTTCGAAAATTGAATGTAGTGTCGATTCAGCCATAGCACGCACCAGAAAATTCCTTTTTCGATCGGACCATTGATGATTCATTGTCGAATTAGCTTTGAACTGATTAAATATAAATGACCCCATAAAGTGTTATTTATTAGTGAATCAGAGATCAAAGTATAAATTTGGAGCTGCTAGAGCAGTGATTTCACCTGGTCCGAGTGATCGTCTAAATGCAATACCCACTTATGACGGATCTGAGAAAGTTTGCATCACGGCAAGGAGGTATTAACTCAATAACTACACACCAAATTATTTACACAACTAGGGCAGATTCTGTGGTGAATCAGCAGGCTTAAGAAAAAGGTCTGACAGCAGGAAAAAAGCAATAATACCTGTACTTATAGCGTAACAGTGCATGCACTAGATTGGTCACGTAAAAGAACAGACACTGATAACAAACATTGAACAAGAAAGCAGAACTGGATTGAGTCACTGTAGTCCCTAATTTAGTTCTAAACTGCTGATTTGAAGAACCATGAGACACACCTCAGATGTGTAATCACTCGGTTCGGGCCAGAGAAACCTTGAACTACATGAGGTCATATCGGTGAAGTTTGAGGGGTCAAAGGGCTGTAATACTAAAAGAAAGGTAAACTTCTGACTCCTGAATGAATTCAAGACCACATATTTTAGATAAAGAAACTGCATAACACTTAAATTGTGGCTAGAATGAAAAGAGAATGGTCAAAGAAAAGAATGTCAGGGTTTGGACTTGTGGAACTGATTCTCAGAGTGCACATTACAATGAGCCGATAGGCTGTGGCTCCAGGTTATAAAATACGAGGAAAATGGTTGTCAAATGCTTTCTTGAAGTCGAACATGGACTGTAATTAATGAAAATTAAAAGATTTCGAGTTGCTTGGGTGCTTGGGTCCTTCCTGTTATCAATTTTCGTTTGTTTACGGTCCCGGCGTTGGGAGCGTTGGACGTTTTCGATGGCCGATGCTCAGTCGGCGCTGCGCAGCGCTGCGACAATCCTATTGGCTACAAATGTGACGTCATTCGTATATTAGGCGAGCGGGATTTACAAAAATGCGCAGTCTATTTACGCAAATATCTCGCTTATTTGTTGGTTTCATGAATTCCCGTTTGTACCATTGAATTCTACGCGAAATTCTGATGCAGATTCATGTGCTTAGAGCCTCCAGTTCTTACCCTGTCTAGAGGCTCATTGGTGGAACTGCTATCTTTATTCCCGTTTGTGACACTGTGAAGGCTTAAAATACGGGAATCAATCAGAAATAGATTCGCATTGCATTTACTATCAGTATAAAGGGACCCTAGAATCGACATATTCAAAAGATTTAAATGAGTATTAACAGTGTTGCCACCTTGCTGGAATTGCCACTGTACAAAATATTCTGTTGACACTTTGCATAGTGGCAACTCCACCCAAGTTTGAGCTAACTTCTAAGATCGGTGCCGAAATCAAACGTTGACGAGCAGGCAATCATTGTAGGCTGGCGTTTAAAAATTGGATCGAAGTTTAAATTGGTTTTCGAACTTACTTTCAACGTAGACTTTGAGGATAATGAGCGGGGTCCATCACTGATCTCCTCACATTCACGCCTGAATCAACGATTTCACTTTTTAGAGTTTTTACTCATCCGTCAGCCTCACTTTAACTTTTTATTCGGTCTGAAACACAGGATAAAAACAGAGAAGTCATTATTGATTTTGAATTGTTTTTATTGTTCATCAAACTACAAGAATGTGTTCAAGTTTAATCAGTGGCGAAGTGTGAATCATCTGATATTGATATTTGCCCATTTGAAACCATGGCAAAGAATTGATCAATAAGGAGTACCCTGATAATCGATCCTTTACCACAGGTTTAAAGGGGAAAGTAATCGATTAATCGTAAAGCGCGATACGCCTGGTAAATCAACTATCGATATTTTCTCATTTGAAGCCATGATAAAGAATCGATTATTAAGGTATAACCTGATAATCGATCATTATCCATGGGTTTAAAAGGGAGATTGATCAATCGATTCATCGCAAAGCGCATGACACGCCACCGCATTGATTTCAATTTTTTAACCGACGAGATCATTCCAGATTAGGCTTGAATCATCCAACACGATTTAGGAACAATTGGACCACATGAAGCAGGAGGAAACCAAATCGCACGAGTCAGATCCAAATTTCATCGAGGGTAACAAAAATGTTCAGTTTGTTTTCAATGTGGCTTCATCTGAATAGATAGCATTTGATTATTGAACTTGACATCTTTTAGAAAAAAAGTCCAATGTTATGAGAAAATTTTCGGATGATTCTGAAAACTTTGAATAATTTTAGGTTCATCATACTTTAGAATCTCTTCTGCCGTGCTGAGGAAGAATGCCATATAAACATACGAAAGTTGCCAAATTTCCTCTGATGAAACGTGTATCTAAGAAGAAAGTTATACATATTTCCCCTTGGAATTTTCAGGGACTTTGAGTGAAATCGCGAACAAAATTATCCGAAAATTGGAAGGAAAATACTCACAAATTCACCAGAAAATTCGTTTTTTATCAAAGGAAATTTTGCAACCCCTGAAGGTTCATACGGCGTTTTTCTCTAGCACAGCAATATTAGAGAATATCTTTTTGGAATGGTTTCTAGACCTTTCAAGGTACACGGAAAAAACTAAATTGCTGATTTAACAATTCAATTGCTAAAAAAAGGCACTGCAATGTTTCAACGAAGATTTTACAACAAAAAAATGCTACTTTAACCACTATTGTAAGCTAATTTAACCACTATTGTAAGGTAATTTAACCACTATTGTAAGCTAATTTAACCACGGGGGTGGTTAAAGTAGCATTTTTGTGTTGTGAAATCTACATTGAAACATTGCAGTCACTTTTTTAGCAATTGAATTGTTGAATCAGCATTTTAATTTTTTCCGTGTACATCTCAAGGTCAGACAGTGCGTAATTTCTCGCTGATTTTTTTCTCTCAACGCGTTACGTCCCGAAGCAGCGCGTCGGCTCACTAATGTCCCTTCCTAAAAAGAGGAGTGCTCTTTTATTGTCTGGAAAAACTCGCATTTTAGCGAACAGCTTTGCCAAATCTTCCGTCCGCTCAACCCGAAGCTGTGACCGTCCGGAACGATTCGGCACCTCCGTTTCGCGACGGGATTACAACTTTTCCACCAATTTAACAACTTGGTCGCAAATCCCCCGCCGTCGACGAAATTCGTCCGTAATGATTTTTGAGACCCCTTAACGTCCTTGCCGCCTCCCCGGGGGGAAGTATTGCCGCCTAACTACTTCGCGGGCCCCGAATTAAAAGATTTAAGGCCCCCGCCTAAGCGCTCTTTAATTGCTTCGCGCAGCCTCCGAGAGAGCAGCACTCTGCCGTGCTAAGGAAAAACGCCGCATGAGCCTTCAGGCGTTGCCGGATTTCCTCAGGCCAATGACTAATTTCCAGGAGAATTTGTAAATATTTTTCCTCCGATTTCTCAGATATTTTTGTTTGTAATTTTATCTAAAGTGTCTGAAAATTTCAAGGAAAATTATTTCCTTATTTTCCTTTTTATTTTATTTTATTATTTATTTATTAACTTTTCTCAAAAATAAACATTCTATCGGAGGAAATTTGGCAACTCTCGAATTTTTATACGGTGTTCTTCTTCAGTACGGCAGCACTAGTGCGTAAGTGAAAACCAGAGATAAAGAGAGACACTGGTGTAAGCTTTTACTTTCGGAACTCCAATATTCAGCTGTTGACCTACCACATTATTGGCTGTTGGGTTGGGCATTCCGTCGTTTCGCTTACGAAAGCTCGTAACTGCGTTTCAATAATGCCAAATTTCTCTTTGAAAATTGCATTTTTATCGGGGGAAGCTCGTAAATTTCAAACTGAAAATTTCACTGACTTTTCCTCTAATATTATGCAAAAATCAGAAAAATTTCGGAAAAAGGATCTCTATCAGTCTCTGCGGGCTAAATATTGAAATATATTGGCAAAGCAAGGATCGGTAAAGTTCCCTGCTTTCCACAATTTCGCGCAAGCCGAAAAAAGGTGTTTGGTTTTTTTTTTTTTTTTTTTTTTTTTTTTTTTTGTCGGTAGGTTTTTTGGTTAGCCGGTGGGAAGAAGAAAATTTCCAAATGGTAGCAAGAATTAACACCTATCCTACCATTTATACATACGCCAAACATCGCTTCCCCCCCGCCCAAAAAAACACAAAAAACTCCGAGGGGCTTTCCACAATTTTAGCGCGAGCTTGGCTTGCTCGAGGGGAATGTCATCGACGCTTTGAGACAAAGAAGCAGGAGGGAAAATGGAGCGATCCTATTGGTTGAAACGGGTGGCTCTAATCTAATAGATTGAGGGGAATAATTATGGATTTACTATGGAGTCCCTCGTCATTTAAGTTAGTTTATTGCGTAGCTCCGTTTTTCCTTACGACCACCCATTTCTACCAATAGAAGCGCTTAATTTTTATTTTGTCTTCTTTGTCTATGGCTTTGTCCATCAACATCAATAATCAGCCCGAAGAGATAAAATATTTTAGAGACCCTTACGAAAATCATCTAAACGATGAAACCGGGTGATGCAAAGGTTAAGTTCGGAGATCAATGCTAGTTTTCGCCTGATGTTGCTTAATGAACAACTTGTTGAACAGTCGATCCGCCTGATGTGCCGCCCAAAGCAAAAACGCTGTTTCTCTATACAGTTTTTTTTCCCTAACAGTATGTTTTATTACAGAAAAAGCAACAAGCAGAAACTAACGCTAGTTTTCGTTTGATGATGATTGATGAGTAACTTGTTGAGCAAATTATTCTCCTGATTTGCCGTCCAAAGCAATCTCGTCGTAACTCTATTTAGATTTTTTCCCCGACAAATTATGATGGACTATAAAATTTAGAGGATTATTAACGATGCACATTTTAAAACACCAAAAATAAGAAGAAAAATAATGCCAATTAACCAAAAATATGCAGGCCCAGCCGCTCAGCAACGCGCAACCGCTGTAACGTGAGGATGCGACTTTCTCTAAGACGCTGCATACAACTATTCGTACTCGATGGATGTGCGTGTTACATACGCATTTAATTGGAGGCGTTTGGACTTCCGTTGCGTTCGCAACGCAAAACGCAGCAGTGACCCTATGTATGCGGGTATGCAACATGCCCTGTTCATACACGGCATATGATAATCACATGACTTTTTCTACCTTGATCTCATCGGTTAGAGATGAGTAACATTCGTATTGGTTTGCAAAGGGTATGCTTTTTGACACTTTTCAGCATGAACCGCATCTAACACATAAAGCTCTACCCTAGCCATTACGGAATTATCTTTTAAAGGTAAACATCGGATCTACATTTAAATAAAGGTAACAGATTGCATACATCATTAAAGTTCATAAAAAATACTCGTTTGATGATGATTGATGAGTAACTTGTTGAGCAAATCATTTTCCTGATTTGCCGTCCAAAGCAATAACGCCGTAACTCTATTTAGATTTTTTCTCCGACAATGATGATGAACAATAAAATTTAGAGGATCATTAACGTTGCACATTTGAAAACACCTAAAACATGAAGAGAAACAACGTTAGTCAACCATAAATATGCAGGCCCAACCGCTCAACAACGCGCCATCACTGTAACGTGAGGATGCGACTTTTTCTAAGGCGCTGCATACAACTATTCGTACTCGATGGATGTGCGGTGTTACATACGCATTCAATTGGAGGCGTTTTAACTTCCGTTGCGTTCGCAACGCAACAGTGAGCCTAGGTCGGCTCCTGTTTGATCGATTTTCGTGAAATTCGGTATCCGAGGATGTTTTTCGACGGGAAACTCGAATTTTCGGTCAGATTTTCAAAATTTCAAAATCCAAGATGGCGGCCGTGGCCTAAAATGCTAAGTCGGTTCCTATTCACTCGATTTTCGTGAGACTCGGTATCCGGAGGTATTTTTTAAACGAATCTAATTGGAGGCGTTTTAACTTTCGTTGCGTTCGCAACGCAACAGTGACCCTAAATGTGCGGATATGCTATGTTTATACATGGGATATAGTAATCACGCGACTTTTCCTACCTTGATCTCGTCAGTTAGTGATGAATAACATTCGTATTGGTTTGCAAAGGGTATGATTTTTGACGCTTTTCAGCATGAACCGCATCTAACACAAAAGAATCTACCCTAGTAATTGCGGAATTATCTTTTAAAGGTAAACATTGGATGTACATTTAAATAAAGGTAACGGATTAGATACATTATTAAAGTTCATAAAAAATGATTTAGAAGTTCATGTATTAAAAATAAGATCATTTGATTTTTAAAATAAACTATGCTATTTCCTGTTGTGCACGTCCATAATACCACGCCAAAAAACAAGTTTGTTTTAAAAACACGAAGAAAATATTTTCAGAATTTTTTTTTTATAAGAATTTTCTGTAATTAAAAATAAATTGTTGCAAGTACTGTGGAATTTAGCATTCAGAAACCTGAATAGGTACTCTAGCTATATTGGGTGTATTCTCCCAAAACCTCATTTCTTTCGTTATTCTGCCGTACTAAGGAAGAACGCCGTATGAGCATTCTGCTGCTGCCAAATTTTTTACGACAAAATGATTATTTTTAGGAAAGTGATGCATATTTTTCCTCGAACTTCTCAAAATCTTTAGATCA